TTCTTTTAAAATTTTAATAATGAAATAAATTAGACACTGCTGGACCATGGTAAAGTGTACAAATCTTTTGGGAATGAAAGGCACAGTCTTGAATTTTATTTTCTTTACAATATAAAAAATATGTCATTGCCCAATAGTTTCAATTCTTTGTGCAATTTATGCTGAGGATTAAATAAAAGAGAGGAGGGTTCTTGCAATTGATTCTTTGTAATTCTATCTCAGAGCCATTCAGTTCCTTATGTAAATGAGGATTTTTTTTTGCTCCCTCTGGGCATAAGTAACAATAAGATCTAGGTCACAAATAGACCATATGAGCACTGATAATCTTAAATATATAAATGGGAGAGTAGGGGAAATAACTAATTTATTTTTGTTCCTCATCTTATTTAATTGCATGCAAACTATGGGAGGCAAAAAAAATTTTTTTTTTACTAGTTTGCTTATCTTTACTGCCAATATACATAAAATATTCCATTAATGGATTCATTCTTGCTCACAGTAAGATTGCCATAAAACATTTTTTTCCCTTTCATAATATTGTGGAATTTAAATTATTTTTTCACGATCCTGGCCACTGTGGTTCCATTGATTGGAGGGTAATGGCATACACCAAAAGGTCTCGGGTTCCACTCTGGTCAGGCACGTGTCTAGCATGCAGTTATTTTTTTGTGTTTTTTTGTTTTGTTTTGTTTTTAAATATATTTCACTGATTTCCTACGGAGAGGAAGGGAGAAAGACAGAGAGTTAGAAACATCGATGAGAGAGAAACATCGATCAGCTGCCTCCTGCACATCTCCCACTGAGGATGTGCCCGCAACCCAGGCACATGCCCTTGACCGGAATCGAACCTGGGACCCTTCAGTCCGCAGGCCGACGCTCTATCCACTGAGCCAAACCGGTTTTGGCTAGGATGCAGTTTTGATCCCCATTGGGGTGCATGCAGGAGGCAACGAAGTTTTTCCCTCTCACATCATTGTTTCTCTCTCTCTCTCTCTCTGACTCTCTCTCTTCCTTTCTCTGAAAACCAATGAACATATCCTTGAATGAGGATTAAAAATAAGTAAATTATTCATTTGTGTGTCTATACTTCTCTTCCATTAACATGTGAATCCTAGTACCTGGCAAAGTGCCTAGCATACAGTAGACGTTATATACATGTTTATTAAATTAAATGAACAGCTTCTGTCTGTGCATATTTTTCACTAACTATTATCATGGTTGGTAATTTAAAGGTATTTAATAAAGTATTTTACTTTTTTATACAATAAGAATGTACTGAGTGTCTTATAGTAAGCCCTGGACCATTCTAAATACTATTAGAATTCAGAGGTAGTAGCATGGTCTCCTTTCACTAGAGTCTTCAATCTAATTGAAGAAATAAAACAAGTACATGTATCTAGGTTTGAGAATGGTATGTGTTTGTGTGTGTATGGGAAGGAGTCTTGTAGACTCTATTGCATGTATCTAACTTATGTAGGAAACAAGAGTTGTCTAACACTTTTTTCTATTTCCTCACCTTCTACTTATCCCTAAATTCATTCCAACCTGGATTCTGCTCCTACCACTCCTTAAAACCACATGCCCTCCATGTTTGTTGCTAAATTCACTTGACACTTTTTAGTTCTTGTTGACCTATGAAAGTTTTGTTACAGTTGACTATTATCTCTTTTTGAGACACTTTCTTCCCTTGGCCTCAAAAACTCTACGTTATCTGGGTTTCCCTCCTACACTTTTTGTGGTGTTTTCTTTTTTCTCATTCTCTGCTGGTTCTTCCTCCTCTCCTAATCTTTAAATGTTGAAGTTCCTCAAGGTTCAGTCCTAGACCTTTTCCTCATTTTATTCTATGTGTTTCATCCACTCAATGGATGGTACGTGCTTTCATTTCTAAGGCTGAAGATACTTTCTATATGCAAACGACATCTCTTCTAAATTCAGACCCTGTAGTAAACTTTCAATATCTGGCTGGTTTTCTCACAGGAATCCCAAATTGAACTAGTTATTTTCACATAAACATGCTCCTCCCACAAGCTTTTCTTGCTCAGTATAATGGAGCAGCATACACCTAATTTCTCACATCAGAAATGAGAATTACCCTTGACATCTCCCCTTTCTTTTTTGACCACCATAGAGTACATCACTAAGTCCTGTTAAATCTACCTTCTAGCCCTGGCCGGTGTGGCTCAGGTGGTTGAGCATCGTCCAGTGATTGAAAGGTCACCAATTGGGTTGGGGCGTGTGCCCAGGTTGTAGGCTTGATCCCCGGTCAAGCAGCAGCCAGTCGATGTTTCTCTCTCACATCCAGGTTTTCTCTCTCTTACTCTCTCTCTAAAGCAGTGGTTCTCAACCTTTTGGCCCTTTAAATACAGTTCCTCATGTTGTGACCCCAACCATAAAATTATTTTCGTTGCTACTTCATAACTGTAATGTTGCTACTGTTATGAATCATCATGTAAATATCTGATATGCAGGATGGTCTTAGGCGACCCCTGTGAAAGGGTCGTTTGACTGCCAAAGGGGTCGCGACCCACAGGTTGAGAACCGCTGCTCTAAAGTCAGTAAAGACATATATATTTAAAATCTATCTTCTAGCCTGGACAGTGTGGCTCAGTGGTTGAGCATCAAACCCGGAGGTCACGGTTCGATTCCCAGTCAGGGCACATGCCCGGGTTGCAGGCTCAATCCCCAGTAGGGGGCATGCAGGAGGCAGCCCATCAATGATTCTCTGTCATAATTGATGTTTCTATCTCTCCCTCTTCTTTCCTCTCTGAAATCAATAAAAATATATATTTTTAAAAATCTACCTCCTAAATATCTCTCAAATCTTATTCTTTTCTTTCTATCTCTACTGCCTCCACTTTAGTAAGTACATTATCTCTTGTTTGGACAACCTCAGGACCCTCCTGCATTTCCTCTACATTCACTCCTACTCCTGCCCAGTCCAGTCTCCACACAATAGCCAGTGATCTGATTATAGTATATATCACAGATTATGTCACATAATATAGGTCATGTCAGTCCACTGTGTAAATCAAATCGATGGTTGCCTGTTAGTTTTAAGGTGAAGATACCAAATCCTTAATATTGCTCCTTCAATTTTTTAAAATTTTATTGATTTTTAGAGAGAGGAAGGGAGAGAAACACTAATGTGAGAGAGAAACATCTATCAGTTGCCTCCTGCACATGCCTGACTGGGGATCGAACCCAAAATTT